TGTGATGATTTTATAGTACATGTTATCCATTTTTACTGAATAAAGAGAGTGTGTTTCTTACGCCCATTTACCGGGAACATTTTTCTACTGTGATCATGCTTCTGTGCAAAAGAGCATAAGCGCGCTTACGACCTTTTGCCGGGGACACGACGCTATGTTTGTAAGGGCTTGCGAGGTGCATTTGAGCAGCTTGTATTTGGAGCCAAAAGTTATATATTTTGGGGATTTGTAGGGCTGTGTCTATTAGTCAAACAATAAGATATTCAAACAATTATCCAAAAAGTGAGACCAGGTACATGTACTGTGTGTATTGCTATTGTTGATGGGATGTCAGTTACCTACAATGGTTGGTAAAGCTACTCAAATGCACCATGATGAGTTTGAATATTGAACCAACCCAAGTGCCTTTAATTGTTGGGGATCTCTGCTCATGTCTTCCCTGTGTTGTAAAGAAATTGAAATGTTATTCAAATTTTAAAGAACAATTTTTACTGCCTTAGTGTGTAACAGGACGTCTATAAGATTAATTTAGTCCTCTAAACTTTTTAATTATATTGTCCAAATCCTTAATTCTTTTGAGATAGGATACTGGTACATATGTTGTTTCATCTGACGATAATTTGCACAGTAACTTGCTTCCAAATGGATGCTATCTACTCTTCCACTTTGCTGCCTGACTTGAAATCATGTATTCAGTTATTCACCGGGATATTTAACTACAATACTGCTTTGGAGATTTTTTCAGAGAGATACCCAAAAGTTATATTGTTTTCCCACCACTAGTTTGTGTTTTGTTTTCTTATACAACAGCTGATAAAACAAATCTCTCAAATTAACAGGTAAATTAACCACAGTAGTCCTGTTTGCGCCACAAAAATTGTCACAAATAAGATCCATTGCAAACCATTCTATCACCGACATTTTATGACATTTCTCTTTAAAGTTGTGTGGATGAAAAGCCTATATTTTCCCTTGATTCGTTTATCGACCGTAAAAACATAACCAAGGTAATTACAGGGATTCCAAAAATAAGTTTCTATTTTCTATGTCTGAAGTGTTATAGCCGAGAATCTGGATCAGGAATCTCTCCAACAGATGCACGTATGATCTGTCGGCCTAAAGGGTTTTTTCATAGCCATCAACAGATGGGCATTTCCCCAAAATAAAAAAAGATTAGCTAAGCTGCCAAGTGAGGGAGAACGAAGCAACTACTGTGTTCGTGGTCTTTACGAGTGGAGTTCATGTTAAGAGGGAATTAGAAAGCATAAAAATGTTATAATATTGGGGAAAACAATGGTATTTGCCTTATTTTATTTCAGCCTACACGTAGGAGTAATTAGTGTCTTTAGAAATAAATGCGCGGCACATTTCCTCAGATGAAATTTTGTCTTCCGTACTCCCAAGCTGGCTTTTTCAAATAATATTCTTTCATAAAAAATGACAAGTGATGGGAGTTGGAATGGGGACGTTATTTGCTTGACAGACTGTCTGTGTGTAGATGTCTGTGAGAAGCGGAACATTTTAGATCCAAAGTTTCAAAGGAATGGGTGAGGTGTGGAGAAATATTCAAAAATGATTTTACGTAGTCAAGCATTGCGTGTGCGTTTTTGTGGATGGTCGTGATTGTGCCCTATGGTTATAGGGGGTGTGGCAAAATGCAAGCTGGGAGATTTTGCTCATCAGTTCACTGAGTGAATAGACTGTATTGTGGGAGTGTGCTATATGTGACTTGCTCTGACAAAAGATTAATCCTGGCTTCCTCTGACAGTTATGGTTTTGACTGGAAAAAATCCTGTGTTGCCACTTCACATAGATTAGTGTGCTATTCCCAGTTGAGTTTTGTCAAACTTGATCTGTGTGCAGAGGGGCAGAAAAATGGGGAGGGGACCTCAAGAACATGAAATTTGTAATTCCCCACTTTCGAGGGTGTTTCCGTCCTCTACATTCCTTTTTGCTGTACTTTCAGATTATGGATATGCACTTTAGTTTATACTCTTAAGAAGTGTACTCACATGTACATGTACCTTGGAGGTCTAGCATGAAATCAAATGAATGTTTCTATTGCCCAAAAAAGTAGAGAGTAGTCAAGGATGCTGTGACTAAGGTTGCCTTCTATCAGAGCGAATCACATGAAGACAAGTATGATAAATGTTTGAAGTAGAATTTTTACGTACAGTGTGATGGCGTCAGCAACTGAGACAATCTGTAGTAGACAGATATGGACCTTTCACAAATCTCGGCTTCGCCTCCCTCTTTGGCTTGTGATTTGAGTTCAGTTCTTTTTAAACATTAGTTGCAAACAAGTTAAGAATATTTTTAAGCTGGTTTAAATAATGCAATGCCTTTGTGGGGGGGCAATGGAGCTTCATATGACACAAGAGTATCTCTGCTGGGGGGGTCTAAAGTCATGAAATGAAGCCAAGTTTTTTTTTAATGAGAAAACTAAGTCCTCAGGGTCAGTTATCAATCTGCCATCTCAAGAGTCAGAGATGGCTTCATCTTGGCTTATAGGAACCAGACCTAGAGGTTGGGACGTTGAAATTCTTGACCCTCAAATGAGAGGATTATTTATATTATTTTCAAAGTTTATACTTAAAAAGTTTTCAACAAGTGAAGTTATTTATTCAAATTTTGACAAATGTAGTGGTTATGGAGGTAGGGAGGTGTTTGTTATTAATCCATGTACAGATAAAATACTTGCAATCGTCATAAGATATCGGAGAGCTGTATAGGACATAAAAACCTGGAAGTTGACCTGTTTTATATGAGCTGCTCGAACTGTTATTCCAAGTACTTCCATCTACATGTATATGCCACAACAATGAATTCATGTGCATGTACAAGACACAACTTAAACAATGCAATGTTTGAATATAAGTCACACTCTATTGATACCTTGTAAAATGTAACGGCAGGTACATTGTTTTTTAATTGGAGTCCTTGTTTTTGTTTTCTTCTTGCAAATATGGACAAAAGACATTTTCCCAAACTTTAAAAATTTCAACATATAAAGTGATTCCTGATTGTTTCATTTTGTGTTTCCCGTAGAAGTTTCTCACTCCCTAACCTTCCCGAATCCTAAATCCTCTACAGTGAACACACAAAAGGACTTAATCATGCCTCCCTCTATTTCTTTCTCTGTCTGTCAAAATCCTGCAAAACCCTTCTGTATTTGGAAGAATCTTGTTGCATTTGGGCCGACCGTCAAGTATTAGCGCTTAGAAGATACTGGATCATCTTCTACTTGCTTCCACACGGTAAACAACAGATGTAGAAAATATTGCGATATGTCACTGAACAATATATTGCAAAGTTTGCCAAGAAAGTCCTTCCACTGCTTCAGTGCGCAGTCATAAATGTCATTTGACTGATGAGACACCTCTGTTCAACATGTAGGTTTGCACAAGAAGGTCAATATACTGGGCGTTGTCTTTTGTCCATATTTCCGGTATATATGCTCAGTTTCAGTCTGCATCAATGTTATGGCAGGGAGCTAAATATTAAGGACATAAGGAACTGCCAAAATTTTTATTTTAATGTGATCATCTTACTCACTGAGATGTATAAAATAAGAGCCATTTTAAAAGAATGTACTTACATGTAAGTAAACAAACTGTAGCACCTTACAACTTTTTAATGTAAATTGAAATGTTAGGATTTTAGCTCTCTTTTCTAATTTCTTGGTGTATCATAGAAATCACAAGAAACCTTGTTTTGTGAAAGTGTGAATTTACTGTACCATTTTTGATTAATAATAAATTTGATGAGATTGTAATACTTTGCGCGTGTTATCAAAGTAATTTCCAGATGTGCGCGAGCATCTTTGGTCAATCACTCCTTGCCTGTTATAGCCAGAGTCAAAAAGGAAACCTCTAAAATGTTTACTCCAAGCCTTTTTACTCCTGGGCAATCTTGCTGTCTGCTCTGACTTTGAAGCACCTCCACACTCTCTCACTGGCAGAGGAAGGTCAGCCTGGTAGGAAGGTTGAACTGCATTTGAGTTTGTGCCCTGTGCACCCACCAGGGTAATTGCCAGAAATTTAGGGGTCCAAAAGTCTGAAATTTTTGTGTCCCAGTTACATGTACATCTGACCTGTGTTATTTGACAGGGAAATATCACCGGAATTGATTTCCAGCTATTATTGTTTGTTTGGCAGGTAATTTGTATAATTCATCACTTTTGGAAATTAGAAAATGTGTTCTGAACTTACAAAATCATATGTCGGATGTGACAAGGACACGAAAAAACAATGGACCCCTGATTTCTGGAATTACCCACCAGACTAGTTGTAAGCATAAGTCTATTGCGCATTCTCAGCGGCAAGCATGCATGAACCTGTGCACACATGCAGGTGGCTCCCACCAAAAGACGGGACAGGTTATTTCTGGCTTGAAATTCACCCCTTGCTCAATGGCCTCGTGATTATTATTAATTATTCACACCTATTTTACCAAAGCTTACTTAGCTCTTTTCAAAGAAGCAGGGGTGAGATTTGTTAGGATTTTTCCTGACTTCAGGATTGGGGAAAATGTTTGGATCCCCATGAAGGTTTTTTTTTTAAATGCTGATAGATGTACAGAACACAAAAAAATGGGTATTTCAGAGGTTATCTTCAGGCAGACACAAGACTTCATCGCTGCCGTAGGGCAATCAGAACTTCTGGGGATTATTTCATGGATATTTCATTTCCATCCAATCTCTGGCAACTCCTCTACTTTTGTGGACAATAATTATATGTGTTAGTACTCCCAGCACCTTTGAATGACCAGATATTGTTAGATACTGTGCACCTTATAAGTGCTTTGATGAATAAAAAAGAAAAATTGCTAAAAGTTTTGGCATTTTGTAGATGAGTAAATCTTCAATATGCAAACTTTTTGGAAGGCCCGTAACATTAAAAAGTAGCTTCATTTGTATGGATTGTGTTGGATCTGAAAACAGAATTTCGTGTTTGTTGATCATTTTGTGGAATTTGTTTTTTGGTACAAATATTTTGCAGGTGCGTTCTGAGGTAATAGCGACCTACGCTCTGTGTGGTTTTGCCAACATCGGCTCTGTGGGTGTGGTGCTGGGCGGACTGACTCCAATGGCGCCCACCAGGAAGCGAGACCTGTCCTCTGTAGTGCTGCGTGCCTTGATGGCAGGCACTATCGCCTGTTTTATGACTGCATGCATTGCAGGTAAAAAAGAAAGTAATATACATGAACAATGTGTCCTCCAAATGGTGCAAGCACATACTTTTTGTGATAAAGATAAGATGTCAACTGGTGCTACTAACAACTTACATGTACAGGGTTACTCTTCCTCCACTTTTGCTCATGGCAATCCAGATATATGCCCTGATCAGTGCAGGTAACACGCCTGATTCACAATTCAGTGCGCCCCCAAGTGGTTGCCACAGAGAGGCTTTTCTACAGTACAATGTGGGAAAATGGTCAGCAATTTGCACTGTGTATAGGGAACTTAAATGTTTCCCCGTGTTTGTCCGGGACAAAGATTTGAACGGATTCTTTGAGTATCATTGTTAATCAAATCAAGAGTGGAGGTTGTGGTTTTTTTTTTTTTTGTGAGGTGAAGGTTTTTTAGAGGTAAAGAATGTCCCTTTCGATCACAACAATTTCCTCAAGTTGTCCACTAACATTCGCTCCAATGCAAATCACGGTGAGTTGGCCATGTTTTTGTCAACCTAAACTTGAAAAATGGCCTTTCTGTGGCAACCTTTTGGTGGCATACTGTATCATGACTTGCCCATGTTACAACTGCATGTAGTTTGTGCCACTTCTTGTCTGATCAGTGGATGTAATTTATTGCTATAATAAGCATTTCACCTTTACAATTTGAATTCAGTGGAGATTTAGACAGTGGTATATGTGTGTACTGAAGCAAGCTGAAAAGGAATAACCCTTCCACTGCAAAGTGGCACAAGCTGAATTTTGAAGCTTGTATTTACATGTACTGGGATGATGGAACTAAGGTTTACTCACAAGGATTTGCTCCAAGGTGTCTTTGCATGGTAGCTTAAGAGCCTGACGAAACCTGGGTGGAGAGCATATTAAGAAGAAACATTCAGGTTTAAAGGTGGGAGAAAAACTGGTGAATATTCATGGAAAAATCCTCAGAATCAGGCACGGACTTGAAAACCCTTTCCACAGGTGTGACTTATTCCTGTTCAAGAGTACGGTTTCTGTGTATTCGCCATTCAAGTGCACAAGCCCAGCCCAAAAACTTCCCACTAACCTGTCTCTTCTGTGCCTTCAAGTCGGGGCAGATTAAAAGAGGAGATGTCTATTCAAGGGTCTGTCTTTCCTTTTTTCCATAGGAATTTTGTACAGTGAGGAAAAGTATGTGCCAGTGACAGCTACCACTGTTCTCCCAGGGGGCGTCCAGGATGTCGCCAATACCACTTTAATGGCTGCTGTTACCGATGGCATCAATGCCACCGATGCCACCAACTTCACTGACTTTATGACAACATGATGATGACATAATGAAAGACCCCATGACTGTTGGTAATCATGCATTCTCAAGCAGACCAGCAGCATCGTTGTCAAGGCCTTGTATTTTGGCAGTTTTATTTATTTAATAATGTGGAAAAACCGTTGCAACTTCAGCAATGTATATTCGTTTTGTCAATTCTTCAATCAAAAACAAGCGAGAGTTATGTGTTATACTGTATTTATTCTACTTTGCATGAAATAACTGAGGGTTCCTTGTAACCCACATGCAAGGTAGAAAATAGTGCCACCACATTGACTTCCTCAGCTAAAAATAACATTTGAACCAATCAGAAACAAATGCTCAGTCAGCTCAGCAAGTTACCTTAAAGGCGGCCTTACACTAGAGATAGTGACTTTAGCAAGCTCGATGAACTGGGTTCTTGGCACTTTCACCAGAGAAAAGCTGCAGCTTGTTCATGTTTGGAATTTTCTGTGACTGTTTTGCATCAAGATCTTGTGACAGTTGTGTAAAATTCGCAGAATAGGTCAGGTTGTGGTCTTATTTGCACTGCAAATTTGGCAAAAGTGGCAAGATATTCATCCAACGTCAACAACATTCGCACAACGGTTTTGAGATTGTCTGGTGCCCTCGGCACACTCACATAAAGGCAGTGCGACTGTAGAGACCAGTGCGCAAGCATCTGGCAACCATTGTGTGACACGAATCACATTTTGAGGCCACTGACCAGCTAGAATAACAACCCCTGGAATAACCAAGGTCAGCATCAGTCTGCATCCAGCCTTTTGACAGGATGAACTTGCAGGACCACTGCATAGACCTTCAAGACCAGCTCCAACTCCTGGCCTGTGTCTTCCCTGACCAGCCCAGGACCAGCCCAGGGTTCAAGCCTTGGTTCTTTTCAGCTGGCGAAAGCTGGGACAATTTTGAAATGGTTTGGCACTTGACGCACGACAATTGCAAAGGCTGGAGACTTCTGAGGTGATCTGGTGAGAAATCTGGGATGGCGACAGTCACTGGAAATTTTTGATGTGTTCAAAATTCCTGTGCACACCTTTTCAAACTACGAGAACGTTTGCTGAACCTCATTAATGTTTTAAGACGTCATTGCAAGTTTTTGTCAACTAATTTGCAAAGTGTGGAAAGTCCAATTTTGCCAAATACATAAAAGTCACAAAGCCTAGTGTGAGGATAGCTTAAACTTGACTGTGCAAATGGGAATAATCCAAAATCTTGTGTACCATCAAGAGGTATTTTTTATCTATGCAGTAAACTGTGGAGTTGCTGGCCAATGCCAAAAAAAAATACCACTTTGGGAAAAGCATACGAAGTACAGTTCTGCCAGAGCATTATTAATAACCGTTATCACAAACAGGTTTTATTTTTAAAATTTTACAACTACATGTATATTTTCTTACCAGGTTGTTCGCCAGTTTTTATTTTCAGTTTGCACGGGTTTGTCACATTTATTTACCTATTTATTTATTCTGGTTTATTCAATTAAAATATACAGGGTAGGCAGCCACATTAGGGTCACTGATAAAATCCCATTTGCAATCATCTAAAGGCATCACACATCAGTAGAAGGGGGTATAAAATGATAAGAGTATGGAAAAGGATTCATTGAATTTATATTTCACATTTTGCAACTCATTAAGTTTTTTAATTTGTGTATTAATTGGCACATTCCTTGTCAGACTGGCAATGGTATTCTCGTTCATATGGTTCTGTCACTATGAACATCAAAATGTCTGAAGTGTTTACAAATTTCAAGCAATAACTCAATATAGTTAAGCTATTTCTGGCTTTTGTTTCAGGCTCTGGACAAACACCAGCTTGGCATCTCTATAGTGTACCGAAGCGAATACGCCACTCGCACAATTAGTGTGTAAAAGGCATGAGCGCGTAAACCAGCGCGTGAACCAACACGTGCACGTACTCCATTGCACTGCACTTTCTGGTTCACAGTGACGTCACACTTTGGTACTCTAAGTGCACTCCTGACAGTTTTGAGCTCCTTTTTTCCCCCTTTAGGCACTCTGTATCACGGCAATGACAGCCTAGGGCAAGTGCAAGGGATGACCATTTGCTGCCCACCGATCGATTTTCCCTGGTAACCTGTGCACAAAATATATCCTGGGTACCAGGTAAGATGAACTAGTTGACAAAATGGTCGCCATTCAAACTTGCCACAAGTGGCTAGTTTCCAGTCTCTGTTATAAACCAAAACTTCAAAAGAGGCAGCTTGCCTTGGAATGGAGCCTCAAAGTTACTTCTGAATGTTAGCCTACATTATTTTCACACATTAACCCTATTTACCTAGACATTTTGCCTGGCTGCTCCTAAATGCACCAGCTTACATGAAACCAGTGGCACATTCCTTTTCACTGAGTGGGCACACGAGTACAAAGTAAGAGTTGCAGGCTTCAAACTTCCTCGGTTCCACAAACTCCGCCAAAACCTGGCAGATTTTGAAGGATTGTTGGTTTAGGGTTTAAAGGTATTACAGCAGTGAATTTTTCTAGAACACAGTGGGGGGCATGTACTAAAGATATTAGGCTTGCGGCCATAAAATCAAGGAGGTTGGGTAACTGGAAGCAAAACTGTGTTTTTTTATGCCTTTGTCACATTTATGGGGCTGGGTCCCTCCCTTTTTTCCTCCTCCCTCTTTCTTTTTATTTATTTATTTTTTGATGAAAAAGGTGTTTCCTGCTCAGTACTATGATAATTCAACGCTGAATTACCAATGAAAAGGTAAATGAACTTGCAAAGCATCAAGAATATTCCAAATCAGTGCAACATGGAGGTTTTCGTCCTGGCATGACATCAGAGTTTGCTCATGAAGATGGAAATTCACACCAGAGCAAAAACTAGAGGTACAGAATACACTTTGAAACAGCAAAAGTTGCATTTTCAAGGGTTGTACACGTACATGTATTTACACAAATAAAACCCCATTGCACTGCCCTTAAAGAATCTTGCCATTCCAACCTACGGCATTGGTAGTTGTGCTGCAGGTACATGTATTCATTTCTCAATGGTACTTGAAGACAAGACGGGTACTGGACGAGTCCATCCATGAACAATTACAATTGAGAGTGTTTTCTTACATCAACACTTGAAATATACCCTCTGAACCAAATTATTATTATTTTTTAAATGACACTTTTTGATACGAAGATGTGGCAACTTGTGCATAGTTATTACGCACTCCATGTGTATGACATTACTGTATTGTGTATGTTTCTTTGCACACGAGTTTCGTGGCCTTGAATTTCACGAAGATGAAACTTCTTTTGTGTAGAAATTTTGTACTGGCTTCTCACTCAGTATAAAGAGGAAAAAACTACATAATTGAGGGAATGAGTTTGAATGGCAAATCTTAGTTTGGTCTACAAGGTATAGCTGCTTGGTCGTTTTTTTTAAAACTTAACTGGTGTAGATGTGCTTTGAAGTTTTTCCATACTGAGGGTAGCAAGTATAACTTTAGAGGTTTGCAGTAGCATCATGCAAGGATGTCTCTTTCCGTTGAGTATGTTTGGTTTTGAAAAGAACCGGAAGGTAAAGTAGTGTAGCAAAGACACGAACTGTGTCCATCACAACTAGCCGTATAAAGAGCACTTTTTGGACGTGACAACAGTAACATAGTAACAAGTGTCTGCTGCTGGATCACCGTGACCAATAAAAACTACCATGATACATTGACGGATCCAAGGAGAAGGAGGCTATGCCCCGCCTCCGACACCCTTGTTTGGAGGGAGGTAATAAGGAAAACCAATAGGTGGGGTTATTTTATTTCCTTTCCGTTGCTAAAATGTCTAACATGCCCCAAATGTTGGAATCATCCCATAACCCACAGAAAGGCAACAAAAAACAAAAAATTCCAAACTTGGGGGCCTCAGCTTAGAAAATTTAGTATGACCACCCACATTTTTTTTCTGGATCGTCCTTGTCTCTTGCAGAAGACTGACGCCATCATTGCGTCACCGAGAGAGCTCCCACGTCTCTATAAGTGTTAATCAACATGCATGAATATTTTGATTTAAATACATTGTACTTGTATATATGTATGTAGTTGGCATTAGGTGTTTTGTTCAGTGCTAGAAATTTAAGTTTCATATTCCTGCAATATTTTCGTGTGATATTGCTGAATAAACAATTCACTACCAAGATTTTAAAACTTATGAAGCCTTCATGTCCGTCGTTTTTTTGTATACTTTGTAGGAGTGGTGTGGATGAATTGCATTGGGGGAGCATTAATTTTACGATAATGGAAGATGCGGACAAGATTTTAGGTGATGAAGAAACATACACCGGTTGGCGATTCGTCTTCTTTAGCTAACAATTTGAATTTTGTTGTCATTGTTGTTAAATAACCACTTGAGAATTAAAAGACAAACGAGAAAAATGAAAAATTTGTATGGTGTTCTATATGTGACCAAAATGACAGCTTTGTCGCGTCATGCAGTTCCTACGACAGCTTTGGAACATCGTGCCATTGCTACGATGGCTTCGTCGCGTCATGCTGTTGCATCGTCGTCATTTCTTGATGACGTCATGTCTGGCCGTCGCATCTTGCCGTCGTGACGTCGCGTCTTGCCGTTGCGTTGTGCTGCCATGTCACCTGTCATTATATAGTGTTTGTACAGTGTGGGTTAGGCCATTGCGTCGTGCTGTTGCGTTTTGATGTCGCATCATTTTGTCGTCCGTCGTAACGTGCCGTGGTGCCTTACTTTTTCTGAAAATGGCTGTAAATTATCACGGCCAATAGAGGGTGTATGTCACAATCCTGGTAAAAATGTGCGAGTTGACATCCTACTTATGGTGTTCTTTAGCTACCAAAATTGCACCACATCATCCTGTCGCCTGCGACGCTACCTACGACGGCTCTGTCGCGTCGCGTCCAATCGTCACCTCCTTTCTCATTTCATTACGTCGTGGCGTGGCATCGTGCCGTCACGTCGTTGCATCATGTCAAGGTGTCTTGCTGTCGTGTCAAATCGTCACGTTGTCCTGTCTCGTTGTTCCGTCACGTTGTGCTGTCATAGAATCATAGAAATATTTCTATAAATCCCGAATTCGGGACTGGTGGTTTCCAGTTCGGGGTACTTCTTTCACCAAAAGCACCAACCTGTGGGCCTATTTTCGATAGAGGCAGGCGGCTACATTCAGAGCTGAGCGCATAGTTTTACTACGATTTTCGGATATCTTCGGGGAATTAAGTTACATCCCCTTGTGTCAAGATATCCCTGTCACAATGCAGTCAGTCGAGCAAGCAATCAAAGTTGTATCAGAGGCCAGTCAGGCGGCGTATTGAACGGATCAACGGGATGGATTCATCAGACAGGGGCTGCTTTCGATATTGCTAATAAAAACATTTCCATCAAAATGAGGCTTTGAGGCATACTTGTGAAGGGCATAGTGATTTCTGCTCTTGTCGATTTCAAACTGTTTTCTTTGTGGATGCAAGGACACCGTTCTCATTGTGTCCAGGCTACCAGGTAATAATTAATATTTGATTAATTGCTCTAAGTGTTGAAACTGGTTTCAAGTATTTATTTTGTTACTTTGAAAAGAAAAATTTGAAAAAAAATGGAATACCATGTAGAGAAAACGCCACAAGAAAGATTCAGCTGAAAACTTTAACAAGAAAGAGCTGATTAACCATGACGCAGCTTTTTGTTTTTGAAAAAAATCAATCCATTTTTAGCTTGGGCAAAGCATGATTGTTTTCGCTCTGCTATGTGTTCAATGTTGAAAAAAACCTTTAAGCGCATTCAGAGCTTTAAATTCAAACTTTCTGGAAATTCACTACATCCTACCAATGAGTATTTCCACATTCATGAGCAAAATTTCGATGTCATTCGGGATAGAAACTATCAATGTTGCATGTCTTGTGCGCCAACTGTTTGAAGTTTTTATTATTATTTTGCAGGCCGGAGAGTCCTTTCTGGTTATTTTTTAAGTACATGTACATGGCAATATGCCAACGAGCATCTCTTTCTCAGAAACGTTTTCATTAAGCAAATTTGGGCTTCATCATTTGAACACAACGTCTTAACGCCTCCCATCATAAAAAGAGCACCGCTGTAAATTGATGTTTAGAAAAGAAGATAGCTTTTTTAAAACGCTTGTTAGAGGTGCAGTTTTTTATACACTCAATCCAAAAGGGATGCACAGTTTTCATACACAGACGAGTGTAAAGTTGCCATAAATTATTTCTGAGAAAAAGTCGCCCTTTGGATCCATAAAGTTACATTGTAATCACTGATGGCAACAAACCCGAGGGAGCAGACTATACGTTTGGATGAAAAAGTCAACATCCTCGAGGTTCAAACAATTGAAACTTATTCGTCAAATTTTTAGTTGTAGGCAGAAATTGAACCACTAAATGAACTGAAAGTTACATTCAGATTACAGATTACGAGTAAAGGAATATTAGGCCAATTTCTCCTCAACTTTTAAGTCATTTTATACCCCATTACAGTTTAAAATTATTTTAAAGTAGATCTTAATTTACTGTGTTTGCATTTACCCACACAGTGTAAGTTCGTTGTTCTGGAACTTGCTAAAATCTGCTCTCTTTCTAGCTCAGAGCTCGATGAATTGTTAGCATATTGTTAAAAAATATTGGTTTGCGTTTTAAGAAATGTATTGGCCATCTTTTTCAACCAGTAATGCCAGTTGAATTAATGTTTTTAGATAGGCCTATAATTTGAGTTCATGAGATGTGGGAGCTGTTGGCGTTATAGAAATCAAAACCTATACGATACGTTAATCTCCTAACGTACACCCTCTATCAGGAAGGCTTGTAACATAGTTTGTATGTTTGTATATGCTGAACTGAAAAGTAATGTTTCTTATTACTCCCAATAACTTGCATTCTACAATCTTCACGTAGTGATACCCATACAGTTTTGGTTTATAAATGTTCAACTAATAACTATGTATCCAGAAGAAAGTAATGGTTTAAATGTATGTTTGTTTTACTCGTGTGCTATCATGTTAACCATTTTATTTGAACATAGCAACAGTAGACTCCGCGCTATTTTGGAACAATTTCTAATGAAGACCCATACTTCCCTTAGTTGGTCATATGCCTTGTGATGTTACGGCCATGTTCAAAAACAGAGGATACTTCGAGTTGTGTATAAAGCGCGGTGGTTAACACCACTGCCGTGGGACCCAGGATCGAATCCCAGCCAGGATGGAGAGTTATGGTGGATGTGAAGTCCGCCTGCCCTTCACTCTGTTTTTACACCCAAACGGATCCAGGGGAAAGGCGATTTATATTAACAGATGCAACAACAGAAGTAATAATATTCATCGATTCAACACGTTTATCTGAAATTTTTATTAATTTCATTGCATGTTTTTACAAGTATCGAGCAACATTATACCTGTAACTTACGTGCGTCTACATTAATACATGTTCCTGCGGAAAACCTGAAGTGTCATCCAGTATACATATTCCAAAAATTCAAATTTTTCACAGTTTGTTTTTATGAAGTATATTTTTTACAATTTCATTATTATGAAAAATATTTGTTCACTTCATTTTACAAGATAACTTTTTCTCAAACTTTGTTTATTCAAGAAACATTATCCAGTTTGTTGTCATAATCTATCAACAGAAGTGTTGTTTCCATTTTGGAAAAAAAATCTTTTCAAAATATAGTTTTCCAAATTTGTTTTTAGATTTGTTTAGTTCGCTTTTGTGAGTTATATTTGGAAGTTTGTTTTGTGGGAAATAAACCCAACCCTGTAAATATTTATTTTTCTAAAATTACCTTGGAAAAATACAATATAAAAACTGTGATACAGAAAAAAAATGAAAAAGGACCCTCTAATTTGGAAAAAAAATGTTCGAAGAAACCCCGGTCAGTGGCAAAAGAAGTTTCAAAACAGCGGTCCCAAACTTTCCCATTTGCGATTTTCACTCACTTTTATTTTTTCTTTCCCCAGGAAGAGATGGGGGAGGAGCCCCCCCTCTTGTAACAGCTGTGCGCATGCATAAACTTGACAGCGCAGCTCTCTTACTACTTGAATTCCAAGTCACTGCTCCGTCATGTCCGTGTACATCTACGTTGTGTGTATATAGTGACTTCGACGTTCTTGAAGTTCAAGGCTTCCGTCCGATTAGCGCCAAAGATTGCTTCGCAGCGCTATACAATCTTTGGTTAGGGCTACTGGCCTTTTCCGATTGAGGGCGCTGTACATATGTTTGTCCCGCGATGATTACGCTTCGTTCGAAGTTTTACTTCTCACGTTTTGTAAAACTTAATGATTTTCACCGTTGACGTCCTTTTTGTGGTGAAAATCGGGTTGGACATCCTATGGTACCATTTTTGCACATAAACAACTCAAAAGATGGTGAATTGATGCAGGTACGTTGAAAACCACCTTTTGTTTTCAGGACTTGCTAACGTTTTGACACAGTCATGACAGTCACTGACACAGTGTAGGCCTATGGTGCACTTTTCCTACTCCTAGTCTGTGCTAAGGCCCACCGTTCCCAGGTTGGACGTTGTCTTCATTTCATTACGGCTGACGTCCAGGATATAAAAGTTGTGTATAAAACGACGTGGAGATAAGGATTCGTAGGAGTTACAGACGTGAAATTGGCTCCTTGGAAAAGGTGGAAATGTTGCAAATTTTAGTTACACAATTTTTCACCCGATTTTGCACCCTCAGGACCGTGTACATGTACATGTATACCCTGGACTCCCTCCGTAATGTAGTACAGTCAAGGACAGTCCACCTGGGCTAAGGCCCACAATGCATGCTAAGCCCAGGTGGACTCCTAGCCCAAATAAGGCTGTAGTGGTTCTCTTTTACAATCTGTCTTTTATCTGTCGCCACCACAGCCCTAATTCAAGGCATGTTTTAAATGCCTGAGATCCAAACTACAGGATTGTCATAAACTTTGAATCCTAATATCTTCCAAAATGAGAATGACTCAACAATTTTACTTGCATCATTGTATTCCTCAGAGTTTGGACTTTCATATGAGCACCCTAAAGCTTTCCAAAATCGTATATTTCCCGATGTATGGCACCTTGAAAAAAACGGCCTGTGCTGACCACGCGCGACGTCATTTTGAAAAAAGAAGGCAGCGCTTCATGCGTCAGATTTCAAGACACCCGACAGATGCTCTGGTATACATGCACAGTATGTTGTACCTTACAAAACTGGTTCCTCATCATACTGTACCTTGCGTAACAGGCAAACAAGGAACCGGTGAAATTGAATTTGAATAACGTTAATATGCATGTCAGGGCCTACCCTTTATTTTTCCTGACAGTAGCCCGCCAGGCTAGTAAATTTTGATTTTTACTAGCCTGCCGAAATTTTTACTAGCCCATGAAATGTGTGAAAAAAAATTACAATTAAAGCAGGGTTTTGACTTCAGAAGGTTGGTCCACCAAGATATTTCTATCAACTGCTATCACATGGGGTGATAGCAGTTCGTGGGTAGAGGGGCTTGCGATCAGTGGTACAACGAAGTCTCTTACGAACCGGATCGGTTTTGGGTATCTGGTTCCCAGTACGAATTGTATGTTAATTATATTAGTCATGTATAGAGGTCACTGACTACTGGAGAAACTATCGTTGATGCGTTGATGACAGGTACTAGGTACAATGTACAGGTAGTCCCAGCACACAATAAGGGATTCCAGGTGCGAGTCCGAGAAGCGACGTTGGGGTTTATTTGATTCCAATAAAATAAAGTTACATTCATGGCAGACAAAAGGTAAAGCTTTGAAATCAAGACTTTGTTTTATTTTCTTTAACCCTAACAGTCCTCAGTCCTCCAACAGGTGAAGGATTGAGGACTGTTAGGGTTAATCACATCAGAAAAACAAGAAACGTGTACATATTTTAACTCGCCCACCAGACGACTGAGGGAAATGTTTTGACTCGCCTGTGACTGTGATCCCTCGCATTTGGCTAGTGGGCGACCGCTAAGGGAAAACCCTACATGTACTGTATCATGCTCTACACTGTGGTCGTACTGTACACTAGGAAAGTGCGCGCGCAATTATTATCAAGCAATACTGTGACAACATGAATTATGCATCTACGGCACCTGTCAGGTGCCTTGACTTGGCCGCTATAACTTTTCATTTAAGTTTGAACTATTTTTACTCACCCTGCGGGCTGACCCATACACGTGCAGAAATCGAGTGCAGGGTTGGTCTTTTACTTACATGTACCTTAGCCTGGTGTGTTTTGCAACTGAGGATAATTTACAGTCATTTTTGTTAATAAAGAAACAAAATATCATGGATTTATTGTTTGGGCACTTGAAGAAATTTTGGTCAAGTTTGCCATAATTTTTGAAGTGAGTTTAAATTACTTTTTGAATACCTCAGGGTCCAAGTAAATGGGCAAAAATCGTGTGAATACTGTTGAAGGTGCAGTTGATTATACATGTACATGTACCTCCAGCCTTACAAGCTACACAAAATATTTTATGGTCGATATTGTTGATGAAGAAGTAAGATAACAGCTATTTCTTGGTTAAGCATACGTCAAAGATATTTTGTCATTTTTGGACAATTGTTCAAGTAGGTTTCCACTATTTTCATTCAACCTTAGGGGTGTCACACTCAAAATGAAATCAAGAACCGGCAGCCTACTGTTTATTTCACCACCAGGTGGCCGCTTTCTTTAACAGGCTAGGCCACCAAGTGGATACATTGTAAATCTTTGAAGCAGAACATACTCTCTTTCAAGTACACACCAACAAGTAATCAATTATTTGAGCAGACAAAACACAAGCAGTTAAGAGGGTGAAAGATGAGCATATGTCACTGCCGGTCTGCTGTACTGAACTGCTTTGACCAGGAGGCAACTTTATAGGGGGCCTTGTGGGCTAAAGTACATGTAAACAAACAGGGGAACACACTGCTAAGAAATGAATGTAGCTTTCCCTGACTAAGAGGCATTACTCCTAACTCCTGAACAATAAAGAATACGTAAAATTACCAGGGAAACTTGGCCCTGCCACACCTACATGTACGTACTGTTGTATCACAGAAAAACAGATTGATCTATTCACATCATAACTGTAGGCCTATTGACTATTGAATTTTGCACTTAGACCAATATATTAATCTGTCTACAATATTTCAGTGGGAGAAACAGAATTTTCGCTATTCCTGTGTTTTACTCTTCTTCCCTTTAAATAGATTGTTGTTCTTTTTCATCTTCAGCAATCAAAGTGCCATGCAACTATGTTCGTAAAACTACACATGGCCAGACCCCCCCCCCGACGTAATGGAGCGAGCTGTGTGAGTGGTGCTTCTACATCGCAGACAAGTATCAAACTGTTGCAACTTAGTTTGGAATAGGAGCATTACCAGTGCTTGGAACAACTACCTGTGTCTTACTTGAACTGAAGTGTAAATCCAGTTTTCAAGTCATTAAGTATACCATTAGATTATCTGCATACCAAGATTCAACTTATCCCATACCATGTTCCAACTTACCCCTTAAAAGGTGTTAGTTGGAACACATGTCGTAGTTGTATCAAGATGGATTATCTAAATAACCATCAGCAATTTCTGAGAATTTTAGATGCTATATTTGTGACACATATGTGTATGAATAAATTGGCATAGTTGTTATTTCTTGAAAAAACCCTGTTTATGGACATGTTTTTGTGAAAATCGTTCCAACTAACCCCCATCTCCCCTATCATCGTGAATCAAATTATCGGTTGCTGAAGCCTCAGTTGCCTAAACTTGCATGTGAAACCTAGCCCTACGGCTTACATACATGTAACTTTTGTAGCATTGTTGACAGTGATTAGAAAACCTAACAAATCAGAGTGTTGCTTAATTGACTCCATTTTAAACCAGTAATTGCTTTTTTGTGTGGAAGACTTTAGTTTTAAACTATGGAAAAACTGTAATTCTGCTGTGAGCTTTGTCCAGCCATAAATAACCTACAATACCTCCCCAAGAAGATATATGCAGCTTGTGGCCCTTAGGAAGTGTAGACATTGACAAATGGTACATGTATCTTTGCTGAAAATCCTATCACCCCTGAGGTCTTTTTGGGTTGAGTCTTGACTTGGTTGCCAGACATTTGGTTTTCAGACTTCTGTTACATCCAGTAGTCTTTATTGATTAGCCTTTTTGATTACAAAATCTTGGTAAATGATTTTTTTTTCCCGTAAATAATTGAATCCAAGTAATTTGTCATTTTCTACCAGATAGCTGTTAACAAGTTATCATCCAGCCTGTTCCTACTTATTCATCTCTTTGCCATCAACCTTTCAAGACGACATCACTAACTGATTAAGAGAAGAGTTACAATGTATGCATCCAAAAATTGGTAAGTTTATTTCCATTTCTGGGCAGTGTAGGATTTTCATTACAGCTCATCAGTGCAAAGTGTTTGAGTTTCATGAATGAATCCTGAAAATTTATTTTCCCTCTGTCTCAGTCACAAAATTAAAAGGGAAAAGTTTTAATTTATTATAGTTTGGGTCAGTTGCACAAATTTTCCTTTGTTTCCCATTCATCAAACTTGTCTTTCTCATCTTGAGAATTGTGTGGATAACAGTTCAAATGACCTCAGAGGGATGTACTGTTTTGGCTTGTGCATCTCAACCAACCCTGTAAAATCATGCTTCTGATGCGTTAAACTGTACTTTGTAGCAGGGTTGGCTGATTTATGTCATGTTGGTTTAAATCACTGATTTTAATCACAGTTTCAATCCAATGACTTATTTGAACAATTACTGATTTAAAGCACTCTTTTGTAAATACCGGTATCCCCGTTTCCAAAGCAAGTGACTCCTTCTAATTGCCAAGTACAACACGTTGTCAACACATTCAGATATCCTTTCATTTCATCAGCGCTTGACTGAACAGAACTTTGGATTTGAACAAAGTTGTTTAATATTGCCCCAGTAAATGTGTGAGGGTCATTTGATTATCTGTCAAGCCAAGTGTCTCTTGGAGAGACTGTGTATGGAGAGTGAACTGTTTACACTCAAGCATGAAATGCTACTGAAATCTTCAGTAGTACGGTGTGAATCACAAATGTTGTTATCGGGGTATTTGTTATAGAGGAGTTTTGAGTCCTTTGCAGGTACATGAAATGTACATTGGCAAAGTCTATTGGGCAATTTTTTATGGGAATTGAGAAAAATGGCAAAATTTAAAAGCTGATGGAATAGAAATTAAATTGACTGCATTGTCAATAAATGTGCACCTGGCACAGAGCCAAAAAAATTTTTGAAAATATGGCAAATTACATAATCCCTGCGGTAATTTTACACAGATTTATATGTGGTGAAAGGTGATAATATTTACACATATTAAAAACATAATCACGAAATTAAAAATACCCAAAGATGGCAGTCGCGAACGTCATTTGATTCTGTCATTAGTGTGAAAAAAAAATCGACTGCAAAAAAACAGCGAGTGAAATCCTAATCGATGTACAACACAAGCTTTAAAAAAAGTGCAAAAAAGCACCAGTCATCATCATCACAGTCATCCTTGTGTGACTGGACCGATCACATTTTCTTCAAGTACATGTACATATTCCGAAAACAGCAGTCCAAAATACCGATCGTGGCAATTTTGCGGCTTCTGTCATTCTCTCGCGGTGCCGTTAGAGAAACGTTTTGCTGCATTGTGGCCTGTTTGACCTCTGACATCACCCCAGATAGTGCGCTGTCTTTTTCATTTGATATTCATGAGCCCACCACACAGAATGGCTACGCTCTGCAATTTTTCTCTTCAGAACCAAAGTTTCTCAAAAGAAAATTGGTCATTCAGAATGATGGTTAAAAAAAATGACCTCCGAGACATAACATACGATTCATGGTGAAAATCTAATGCTCAGAGTTGTTAATTTAATTTAATTTTCAGCAGGGATATCTCCAAAATAAGCGGTAAAGTGAACATAACGCATGGAATTTTCAAGCGCTACATGTATGTGACAGCGTTTTCGGCATTCTCGTACGTCGTGCATTTTTTGGTCAAAATTTTCAAACGTCATCAAAATTCTGTCAAATATGATGTTCGCAATTAGTATATTGTACTCATTATACATGTACATGTAAATTTTGGATGCAGCCAAACTTAGAGATAATTTTTGGTGGTTGAAAGATATAAGACCTGGCAGATATGCTGGTATAGTGAGAGTGATTGTAAACAGTAAGAGAATGAAGAGAGCCAAACTTTTCTCATCATTTTCTGTCAATTTTGTGCTCTTTTTTTTCATGGCTTCTATTTTTTAGAAGTTATTTCTCAGGTGCTTTAAAATACATCAGTCGAAAATTATACTGAATTCTCCTTCTTGTTGAGAGAAGTTTAGAAATCAAGTCCTCTGGCGCAAACACTTTGACGTAAAACTTTAAATGAATTCAACTCCATTTGATTTACACTGGTAGCCAACCAAATGTCCACCATAAGTAAATGTTATGCGTAATTATCCCCATATAATCGTTTTTATAAATCTGAAGGTGCTAATTTGTATTTTACATGATCAAAGTCACTCTTTTAAAAGTTTTGAAGAATGACATGCGGAGTTGCTTTTTGGTCCATTTTATGAAGCATATGCCTTATGATGAAACCCCTGTAGCTAAATACTATAAAATGCAATAAATCCTAAATGCTAAACTAATCTCTCTCAACAGTTTATCACTGCAAAGGTTTGGAACCATAGATGCTTGTTTCTTTCTTTCTCTGGACATGGTACTTGGATGAGAAACTACAACATTTGGGTTAAATTACATGTACATGTACAGTAGTTGTAATTCCGTTTCCAAAGTTACAAAAATTTTTCTCCTCGACCAGTTTCTTACAGAATTATTCCACCACTGTAAATTCTCTTCCTTAATCTGCCTAGTAATAACCTCAAACATTAAGTTCTCACTTAAAAGTATTTACTCCTATGGAAACATTGGTAACGGAATTGCATGGTAACGGAATTACAGAGGGTAACGGAATTACATCTCAGAACTATGCATGTTTTGAGGCTGTATAAGTAAATCTTTGAGTAAGAGATTCTCTGTTTGGTCAAAGAGGGCATCAATCACATCTGTTTCTTTGTTTTAAATGTGCCACTAGAGGGTAGCAGTTTATATCTTACATGTGTTTGCACAGAGCACATGGAAACTTCCCTCCATATAATGTACTTGTTAATCTATCTTTGTTGAAGCATTTACATGTAGCATATTGGTGAGTATTATCCAAAGTAAATATTCTTGGGAGTAGTTTACTGAACGTTGCTTTTTGCAATGTTAATCTCAATAAGTGATTGCAGTGTACTTCATACATGTACTTGTACTCATTACAAAATGCATACTTTTTGCACTTTTGCTACAGCCATGACACGCAACAGGTCAAATTGTTCATACATGTAGGCTTACTTGCATTGATGCACATGAAGGAGTTTATACACGTACATGCATTACGTATTAAATTGTAGTTTATTTTAGCATTACATGTATATGCCTTAGAAAATAATTTATGAGGTATTTACATGTATACTTTTGTGTAGATGTACAAACATTTGTGAACTGAAAGTTCAGTCACATTGTTGATTCATAGCTTCTTTTTATGAAATTTAGATATACACGTATTTTAGATTACATATTATGTTAAAGAACGCTACTGACGTCAAAAGCATGTGTGAAACTTCACCTTTGTATCAAGTACATGTACACTGGAAACAAAAGTTGTCGGAAACATCCTGTAGAAGCAGGTTTTGATGACGTCTTGCTTGTTGAGCACCATGTCTCCTAAGTCCTATTGAATGCCAGTGTGACCATGCCTCAGAGGTTGGTTCCACAAGGTCGACTAGAGATGGTCAACTACATGTACCTTGCATTCGAGCATGGTCAGTCCAACTGTTGTTAACTACACTTAGCTTATATGGTTGCTGATCAAATCACTTTAGATGTTTGCATTGTACATGTAGATGACTGCATTGCAATATATGTAATGCATAACTGCACTGACACATACATGTACATGTACATGTACATGTACATGTCCATGTACATGTACGGACAATGATATTGTGATTTCACAGCACATTAGGTTATTCAGTGTTCCTAGTTTGTAAATGTGTAATTCCGTTACCATGTTTATCGTATACTGTTGGATATACTTGGAAACAAGTCCTAACCCACAAACTGAAGCAGGATTAAGCTGTTTAAGGCTGACAAATGTGGCATTTTTCAAGGTAGATTTCACATGTGTAACTTATTCCGTTACCCTTTTTTGTAATCCTGTTACCACTGGAAAACTTACAATGTGTGGAATATTTGTAAATATATTAATACCCTAAAACTGCTGCTACCGGTAAAATAAAGTTGGAACTACAGGTAAAAAAATGGGTACCTGTGGCCTTTATGTTATAGATTTCATAGTTTTAAAATTTATGTTTGAAAAAAATGCTTCATTTTCTGATGTAATTCCGTTACCAAAACATTCTGGGCCTTGGACTTTCCTACATGTAGGATATTTTAATATTTTATTACAGGTTTGATGGTACATGTAGGGCTTTAACCAGACCTTACTTAAGTGTTTGTAAATCAGGAAGGTCATACGACTTATTCATAACATGGAAAATAACAGTCAATTTGTTCTGAAATGTAATTCCGTTACCGCGGAATTGCCTTATTACTGTACCGGTACATACACGTGTACATGTATGTACATGTAGATGGATTTCTTGTGGGCATCTTTTTCCCAGATTGGCAGGCCCATTGCCTGACCAGAACCTGGGGGGGGGGGGAGTTCGTCAAACCCGAAAGTGGAACCTTTGGCACATGATAATACATAATTTTACGCAAAGACCTACATGTATCATAATGTGCTTTGGAACAAGACAAGTTGCCTGTTTGTCGCAAACCGAAGGACGCAAGTAAGACTTGTATACCATTTACTTCAGTTTTCAATATCCAAGGTGTGTGGTAAATTGGCCTGGTGTGAATTCGCTCTTCACCTAGTGCCTTGAATCAGACGCTGGGTGACAAGTGAATGGTATGAACATTATTATTGAAAACCTCAGAAAATTCCAAAACAAATTTCAGTAAAGTTCAATTTAAAAAATGATCAAATTCTAGTAATTCATTATTGACTCCACTCACTTACCGAACTAAAACTTGTAAAACATATTTTGGGGCACATTTAAAAGAGTTGCACTTCCGAAAGAAAAATTGGTCCCAAACTTTGTACCAATGAAATGGATATTTATGAATGAGAATATTTGGAGTTTGATTAAATTTCACCTTTTGTAAGATTGCAGGTTAAAATATTACTCCATACACAAACGTTAGAAGCAAAACTTTGAAGTGCCTAGTGTTTGGCTTTAAATAAGTGCCACTTTCGGGTACGCAATCTTCAAGTGTAACCGTGTGAACGAGTGTTGTCATTAGACGTTAATTTTCTCAAGTCCTTGAAATCAGTTTTGGTGGGTTGGATTAGTGTCCTTGCTGGGTGGGCCATGCAGCATTTTTTTTTTTACATTTACCAAATGACCAGTGAATAATAAACAACATGGATTACACATCCATAAAATGACAAAAATGAACAGACGCACCACACAACTTTTGAGTTGTGAACGGTACTTACGGTACATTTACAAGTCTCTCTGGACTGGTTTGCTTCATTTCCAATACGTGAACAACCTGAAAACCAAGTCCTGTTATCTAAAATGGTGAGCCTTTCCTCAAGAATTGAAGAAGCCCAATAGAAAACAGTCAACTTGAAGAAACATCACTGAGGATGAGGCGTTTTCCAGAAGTTTTGAATAAACAGTTCGGGACTGTTAAAGGGAATATAAAAAAATATGGAAAACTAGAGGTGGTGGTTGTTACAGCAACAACCACAGAGCTGTTTCGGATTTCGAGTTGTTTAATGGGGAAAAAATATATAAAAATCAATTTACAAAATCACAAGATGATGTCATCATGACGTCATCAATCTTGCATGAGTCTTATATCAGGGTCTTTGTTGGATATGACTTTAATAAAAATTGAACATCGCAAAGTTACCAAAATAGTGACCTGAATACATGAACAAAGTCACCGAGCTAAAATAAATATTAAAAATCAATAATCAATGATACGATGATGTCACTGTGACGTCATCTGTTGAGAATATTTCTTTTATCAAGGTGTTCGTTGCCAATCACTTTAATAGCCAACAAATACTGTGGCTTGAAATCATGTACAAAGAAAAGTCAAAGGGCTCAAAAACGTGCCTGAAAAGGCTCCTTTAAGTTCATGTCACGTGATTTGCCCTTAAACTGATAACTTGCATTTAAACTTAAATTGTTTTGGATACAATAGTGGTTCCAGCTGAAAGCCAAAAACAGTTAATAATAATTTACATTGTACAAAATATACCTCAATCTAAAATTAGTATGATTGAGATACCAGTAGATGGTACATGTACCAATATAATTAACCAGTAAAAATACCTCAGATGTTAATTTCTGTGACTTTCTATTGAAACCTAACTCAGATTCTATTTTTCTGTCTCCTGCTACAGAAGAAGACATTATTGACATTGTAAACAACTTACACGTACCTAATAAAATTAGTCCTGGTTTTGATTCAGTTACTACATGTAGTTCATTACTGAAAGAAATTGTGACGACTATTGCTGGGCCCCTTATCATAAACCACTCTATACCAAGTGGTGTAGTTCCTAATGATAAGAAGATTGCTAGAGTTAATCCAATCTTTAGAAATGGCGACCCAGCAATGGTACCGGTATGCACCACTTGTACTATGCAGAATCGCAGGCTGGAGTGCAGGCTATGTTCCCTTCAGACAGGGTTTAGATGTTGATTCGCCACTTATATGTACATGTACCTGTAGGTGATCAACTGAGAATGGTGGATGGTACCCAAACATATCGCACATTTTGGTTTCACCCCTCTTGCACACAGAACGGATCTCATGCTTTTTGAAAAAAAAAACACTTTTTCAAGTTTTATTTTGTTCTCCAAAAATCTCACTCACATCAGAAAGTAATAGCCATATTAATTTTAGGGGGTTTTCTGAAGACAAAAGTGGAAACAAGTGCAAACAAGAGATGTTTCTGTTGGATTTCCAAATTGCTACCCATATGTATTATCTGCATATTGGCTCCAGAGGAAATGAGAATACGGAGACAACTTTCTGCCGTTTCTTCGGTTGTCCACCACCGAATTTATTTTCTTGACTTTTTTCCAAACTTTTTCAACAAGCAAGAACACTGAACAAGTACATGATTTAAGGTATTAAAATCTGTAAGAGATCAGATGAATTTCGAACTAAACTGCAAGCTGGGCTTTAATTGATGATCAGATTTACCGGTTTTCTGGTTGTACTTGAAACAAGAAAGCAACACTTTGGTCAAAATAAGGAATGCTCTGTCGCCTGGAAAAGCCCTGTGCTTCAACGAAAACTAAACAAAAGAGGCCCCATTTGGAAAAATTGCTAACCTGTAGCGATCTGGCAGACTCCGCCTCCCAACGGGAGGGTCCCTTCCCACAACCACCTCCCCAAGGTACAGGGAGGCTAGCCCCGGGAAGATGTCCCCAGGCCGGAAAAGGGGCATTTCCTACACAAATTAAATAGACATACCACCAGGTTAGTGTGACCAATAGACCCCCAAGCTTAAATATAGCATACGTCCAAGCATAATGAGACGACAGCTACGATTCCAGAGCCGGTGAGAAACCAGTTAAGCTCTCCAAGGACCATACTGAGTCCCACAGAGCCGGTAGGATAAACCAGGCTCGCATCAGGGACTGTACCGAGTCCCACAGAGGTGGTAAGGCAAACCAAGCTCACACCAAGGACCACACTGAGTCCCACGGAGCTGGTAAGACCAACCAAACTCACCTCAGGACCGAACACCAAGCCCCCCATCAAGCTGGTTAGAAAACACAAGGCACGCCAGGACTACGCAAGTCTATGCTGGAGCTGGGAAGAGTAAGACGCCAGCTCGCCAGGACTTCCGAGTCCCACAAAAGGGCAGCAAGATACGCCAACCCAACCCAAGACTAAGTCCATATACATGTACCTGTAAGCCGGTAAGGCAGTATCCGCTTAAAGGGGCTACCCGGTCCAAACCATAACTTCCAAGCCTGGAGGGTCAGCATTGAGGTCAACCCTATGACTAAAGGAACACGTTAATAGTACAAAAGAGTTTCAGGGCATAGGCTAAACGAAAATAGGCTGGCTCCAAAGCATCCTGTCTAAGAATGAGCCCAACGACCCACCTATATAATTATATATTTTTTAACGAAGCAACCACAATGTACATGTACAAGCCATTTCCACACGATAGGAGTCGATGTGGCTTAACATGTTGCCTAAATTTCTACAAGTTGACCCAGCCTGGGTGGGAGGGTGGGATTTTGATGCAAACATGTACATGTATGGTGGGGAATACCAAGAAAGTGACGGCCTTTCCGCGCAAACTGGGAAAGCGCGCGAGGAAGCCCAGCCTGTCATTGGTCTGATCCGCATACTATCTGATCCAGATTGGCGTGGACCATACTTAGAATGCCCGTTCTCACTCTCCCTGGACCCAAAATATGTTCTTCGGAGACGAGCACCGAAAAACTGTATTGGCTCCAGAGGAAATGAGAATACAGAGACAACTTTCTGCCATTTCTTCGGTTGTCCACCACCAAATTTATTTTCTTGACTTTTTTCCAAACTTTTTCAACAAGCAAGAACACTGAACAAGTACATGATTTAAAGTATTAAACAGGTCAGGGACCAAACCAAAATCTAGCGACGTCGCTTGTCCCTGCTTACGTCGCTTAATCAAGCGGTGATGACGTCATCTTGAAGTCGTCAAGTGATTATGACGTCACTTTCCTCGCGAGAGTTTGAAAAAATAACGAGATTTGACGGCTGTACAGCCGGTGCCGCTAGACTTGGCGACAATGAACTCACTGTCATTGACCAGTTGTTTTGATTGGAGGATCGTACCTCCATAGTTTTCATACCTTGATTTGGCTATTTGGCAGATGTAAATACAGTGTAATGTTTAAAAAATGTTGACATACAGTAGTTTGTCTCTGCGAGAAAAATGAGTGAAGGAAACCAAGAACACAGAGGTCAAAAGCCTCCACAAAGGTATGTTTTATGTCGTGTGCCACCTCTTATAATTTCTTCAGTTTCATCAGGTCATTGTCCTTGTACACTTGTTTCACAGTGTGGTGATTCATATAGCTCCATGGGCGAGTTGAGCTGAGTTTGGCTGGTTTATGTCGTTCGTTCCTCTGTTTATTTCATCCATTTTATTAGCACTGCGACAGACCATATCAATTATTTTCGGTTCATTTCCTCAAGATTGAAAACTGCTGGATTTTTGTCAGTTGGAAATAAATTCCCCTTTTTCCAAGTTTGTTTGTTTGTTTGTTAGTTGGGGTTGTTGGGGTGTTTGTTTGTTTGTTTGATTGGTTTTTTTGGTAGGCCCCCGAATTTTTTTCTTTTCTCTCTCCTTTTTTTTTTGATTTGCAAGCTTAGGGTGGAGTTACAATTTGCTTGGCATCATGGGGGGGGGGTAATACGAACTAATTTTTTATGTTTGTAACTAGTATAAACCTTTTAGTTTAATCCTTACAACATGCACACGGATAGATATTGCCCAAATACAGCATGGAACTGTTTCTGTTTAAAATTTTCTAAAAAGTATTGTATATTTTCATTATTGCAGCTATGCGAACTAACAACATCACAGGGGACCAGTTTCCCATGAATATGAACCGGATCCCAAAAAGAGGAGACAGCGTAAATATCATGCCAAAAAAGGACTCCTCCCGAAAGCAACACATATGTGTACAATGGTCAACGGGTCCATGTTCATCAAGTTTCAGGACAACAATCGACCTGAGGATACTTGGATTTGGACAAACAAGGAAGAATGGTGTCAAGCATATCGTACCAAGGGGTTGTCTCCTGAAAATGCTGAAGTTCAGGTTGATGGGAATGGGTAGCAGGTCCTCAAAATTCCAAGGCCAGGGAATACCCCTCAATTTGCCATTCCAGCACCACCTGCACCAGCAAAATGCACTACAACTTCAGCACCTCAAACTACATGTAGGCGTAGCACAGACCTTACTTTAACCGTGTCAATCAAACAGTCTGCTATGGTGACACCATCCAAAACCTCATCAGCAGAATGTAACTTTGTGGGTGTACCTGTGGAAAGATATGAAGAAGTAAGCGCAACCATATCTCAGGATGCATTGCAATCAATAGGGGTGCTTCCTCTTCGTCCAGTTAACTTGCTGGAGGCAAAAGATGCTACCGTCGAGCCAGTGGTGAATAACCCTACTGAGTCAAGTCATCAGACTGCAAAACCCTCAGAGAGCTCAAATGTCACCACAGTAAAATCATCAAGTAGAGTCACACTGTCGACCAAGGTCCCAAAGCAACACAAAGCTCGAAAAGAACTGGATGCACTGAAAGAGAACAAGGTAAAGAAAGCACATGTACTTGTAACCCCAAGTCAAATTAATTACTGTTGTCATTGTGAGAAAAAATATAAGGCACAGGATAAGGATTGGCAGTGGGTAGGATGTGAGAATGCAGAAATATATGCCAATCTTGGGTGCACACAAAGTGCCTCAACTGGACAAAAAAGGACACTGAAATTTAAACATGGTAGTATGACCAGTGTAAGCAGGACCAATAAAAAGACTTACTCATATTTTACTCCTCTGGACCATAACATGTACATGTTCATTTATGCATCTGTAACCTTGCCATTTGTATAATTTAATACAACTGCTAACCAATTTTTGATTGTACCTTATGATAAAAAAGCACCAAATTTGCTCGTGTGTGATACATTAAGCATGATTTTAAATCTGTCCAATTATGCTGAAAAATTGCATGGTTCAACATTTAAAAATGTTTGAAACTATTTTAAAATAATTTTAAAACACAAAAATATGCAATTTATTATCAGAGATCCAATCACATATCACATGCTCTGACCAGTGCAAGTGTAATTGAATTCATGTAGATTGCTTATAATGGTGTTTTGCCTGCCTTTCACATAGCCTGCAGTGTACATGTACATGCATTTTCATCAAGGCTTCATGTAAAAAAATGTACAATCTCGCCATCTGCATACAATGTACATATGTAGTTAAAACTTTGAATGTCAACAAACCTATGATTGACCACTAATCAATGCTCCAACTATTGAGTCTCTTTCCAATACAGTAAGTATAATTTTAAATTGTTCTATCATGTTGAAATCAATCAATTGGTGTGATTAGTGTAAGCAGGTCCAGTGAGAAGGTTTGCTGGTATTTTCCTTCTGTTAACCGTAATTTGTAGTCTTGATTTGCAAAATTGCTGTATGATGACACCTTTGAACGCCAACAAAGCTATGGCTGCAAACTTAACAATGATCCAACTCGTGAACGTGTTTCAGCACAATTTAAATCTAAACATCGTGTTGAAAAGTATTTTCACACATTTTGAGACTAAAAACAATAATCATACATGAATATTTTGAAAATGACAAGGATTATTCAAAGTTTATACAAAGGATAATAATTTAATTATTAAAGGTCTAATTACATGTATAAATAAGTTGGTGTGATCAGTGTAAGTACATGTAAGTCCAGTGAGACGGTTTGCTGGTATTTTCCTAGCCTTGATGATTATTTGTTACCTCAATTTGTAACGTTGCCAACTGTATAATTACACCTTTCAACATTAAGAAACACATGATGTGATCACGATCAATACACGTTTTATGGAAATTTTCCTTTTATCCTGTTAAATATTTCCTTTAATGTACAGGGCTCAAAATTACAATTGATTTGATTACACATGTACATGTTAAGTAATTTTTTTTATAAATATCGCACAAATCTTCTGTCATTAGAGATTAAGTTACAATTTTGAAGTTGAAAGTATTGTCTAGTTGCTTTAATAAAAAAAAGATGGTACATGTATACACTACATGTACATGTATATGCGTGATGTATACACTTCTGATCACATTTCCCTTCCAATGAATGTCACATTTGATTTACCAGAAAAAAATGCGGGATTCTTTTGTTGAACTTTCTAAATGATGTTACATGTATAAATACTTTGTTCTCAAATAGTATCATGTAAAAATCAAAATAACCCTTTCTGACATACATGTACATGTATATATACGTGTAGTTAGCAATGATTCAAATTTCATAGGGACAGTTACCGTACTTCAACATGCTTTATGATGTTCATGACCTTCCACGTTATCAGTTACTGTAAGAGTATTGTCAGCCGTCGTATTGAATAATGCACTGCCTTTGAAGTTGCTTTATACACACTGAAGAAAACTAACTTAATCAGAATGGTGATGTCATATTTGGATATCACTTCAAGTCATTCATTTAGATCTTAAGAAATTAAAACCAGATATATTTCAAACCAGGGTATTTTGCTTACTACTGATGATACAGTTTTCTGAAATACTTGTCAAAGGTTCATCATCAAAAAAAGTATTTTTTTCTTTGATTAAAATGTGTGCACTTTGGTATTGAAAACGATTAATTGCATCATACAAAATGGCTGTTATTTAGACCCACTCATTACCAGCTGTGAAACTAATCAGACACGACAAAAGAAATTCTAGCCATAGCTTCACATTGTAAAGATATTTCAGACACTATCAAATCTTTTGGATTATATGACTCAAAATCATATCGAGGATAATTATTAGAGATACACTGTATGATGTCCAGCATCGAAATTACCATCAAAACAGTACGAGCATATTTTGTTTACATGAAGCCATTTCCATGATTTGCTTGTTTTTTAGTTTAGTCTTAATAATAATTGCTCTTCAAATTTTCACCATTTTTGTAAAGGAACCAACACATGCTTATTCATGAGTGCCTTTGACATGACAGCGGCCAACTGGA